AGAAGAAGAAGAAGAAGAAGAAGAAGAAGAAGAAGAAGAAGAAGAAGAAGAAGAAGAAGAAGAAGAAGAAGAAGAAGAAGAAGAAGAACCTTCTTTGGAATTGGAAACATTTTGTTCTGTCCTGTTCTTCTCAAGCAGGCCCACCCCTCTCCCCGCCACCTCCTTCGAGTCCACGGAGTTGGGCTGGCTCCCTTACTGACCAGCTACAGGACTTAGGACCAAGATAACAAACTCTTTCCATGTTCTGCTTTCCGCATCTGAGAGTGAACGCTGCAGAACATTCCATGCCTTTGGGATGGACATGCTGATCAGAACATGCTTTTATCAAAGCAGGTTACCATTAAGCAGCCACACCCAGCATGTGAGCTAATTAGACCCATTCAATGATGTTGGGAGACAGGTGAGGAGACCTTCTCAGCCTCTTACCAATGCAAACCATGGCTCCCTCGGGACCAGGGTCTGCTTGGCTACATGGCTACCATGTGGCTAACAGGGACTCAACCAAGACTCCTAGCCCCAGACCCCAATTCGCAGGAGGCCACAGTGACAACCCACTGCCATTATTTTAGCCAACAGCAAATTTTCAGTGTGATATGGCCCGGGCACTTGCTAGCAGGTTGGCACTGGTTACCCTAGAGACTCTCAGCAGCTCAGTTGGCATGTCTTATGTGAGTCATTTTGACCTAAGGAAGAGCTGTGGCATCACCAGCCTAGGGTAGAGTTAGCCAAGGAGGAGGAAGAGCCTGGAAGCACCCCTGTGCCATGAGGCTCACAGTAACCACACCCTGCTGGGCACAGAGGAATGCAGAGCTATGAAATTGAGAGGCTCAAACTCTCACCAGGCGTCACAAGAAATACCCTGGTGGCACGGGTCCTAAGTAGCTAAGCTGATGCCAGACCCAAGCTCCCCGGTTCCATCCCCAGTGTTCCTCCCTCAGGCCTTTCCTGGCTCCTCCCTCCATCTGTGTTCAACTCATCCTCAGCTGACTGCCGCCCTGGGAGTGACATGTACCATAGCACCTTTTCCACGTATGGCCTCTAAACAGGGACAGTCCTCTCAGAGGGGACTCAGCTTATCCCCACAGGGCAGGAAACCCCTGCAAATGTGTGTGCTAGGGAAGAGAAAATGGCACTCACGACTTGTCTCGCCTGCCAAGCCTCCTTGGGGGGCTTGCTTGCCTCCTTCGGGGAGACAGGGATTTTCCTCGGCTTCTCACTTGGGTTGGAGAGTGAGCACTTGCAGGTTTCAGGATCTGAAGGAGACAGAAGGAGTTAGCCACGCTGGATCCTGAGGACCAGCACCTCTCACATTCCCACAACACAACAACACCCCAACCCCAGCCTGCTGGATGTATGTTCCTCACATTTTACACTGAAAAAAGATAAGGGTACCAGTTTCTGGAGAGCGAGAGGGATCACTACATCACTACATCACTCCCTTCTCTGGGGAGGGAGGGAACCAAGCCCAGACTCTCAGCCTCCTGGAGCTGTTTACTTAGAAGTTTCTTGTGGTGATATTTTGTTTGTGCTCTAACAAATAAAGCTTGCCTGGAGATCTGAGTGTAGAGCTAGCCACCAATTAACCATAGAGGCCAGGCAGTGATGGCACACACCTTTAATCCCAGCACTTGGGATCTCACACCTTTAATCCCGGCACTAGGGAGGTGGAGACAGGAAGTGATATGGCTGGACGGAGGGAGGAATGTAAGGTGGGTGGAGACAGAAGCTCAGTCCCTCTCAGTCTGAGGATTCCTAGAGGTAAGAAGTCTCTCTAGTGGCTGGCTGCTCTGCTTCTCTGCTCTTTCAGATTTCACCCTGATATCTGACTCCGGGTTTTGTTATTAAGGCCAATTAGAATTCGCGCTACAGTTTCTCACCCTGGAAGGCAAACTCTGCCCTGCAGCACCCCAGAAACCAGGTTCTGCTGACTCCCCTTTCCCATGTTCAGGCACAGAGTGGGCTCCAGCTTACTAGTATCACCACTCGGGGCCCTGAAGACTGAAGATAAGCAGGCCAGACTCAGAATAGCCACTTTCTCTCAGTGACTCCACAAGCCCTGGAGGGACAGGGACAAGTGGGCGTGCTATCACTAAGGAGCAAGCTGACAGTGAAAAATGGATACTGAGTACCATGCCCCCTAGCTCAGCCGACAGTGAAGAATGGATACTGAGTACCATGCCCCCTAGCTCAGCAGTGAAGGCCCTCTCTGGACCGGTGACACCAGCTCAGAACCTGATGCCAAGACCTTGAAACTTAGGCCAAACAGACATGTCTCTGAAATAGACCATAAGACAGGGTGATCGTCTTAGCCCGAGAAGTGACTTCCTGCGGAGTCCCTCTGTTCCAGGCACACTACCTGAACAACAGAACTGGTCTCTTATTTTCAGATCTTAGTTCATAGAAGGAATTCAGAAAAGAGGCACCGCTTCCTTTGTAACATCTACGATGGTTTCAGCTCTGATTTGGGAAGTACATCTGCCCCTCAGGGATGTTTTTGGGAATTGGTTACAGCACCCCAAAAAGACACCAAAATCCATGGGTATTCAAGTCCCTTATGTTTGTATATGACCTACACACACCCTCCTGTAGACTTCGCATCACAACTTGAACGCTCTGTAATGCCTAAGACATAATAGTGTTCAACTATATATTATTTAGGGAATAATAAAGAAAAAAAAAAACTATGTATTTTCAGCACAGCACAGGTTTTTTTCATATTATCCTTGATTCAGAGCTGGTTGAAACCAAGGGTGCCAACTCCACAGGCACAGAGGGCAGGCCGTATCACATGCAAACGGACTAACTGTCCGATCAAATGAGGATGCACAGAGTTTGTTTTTACAGAGTGACCACTAAGCAAAACAACAAACAAAAAAAAAAACCTCCTGCCATTTAGAAAAAGCAAGAGATAATGTGATTGTTAAATCCTGATTCTCCGTTTGACGGGGTTTAAGAATCTCACAGGGGAAGTTGCTCCTTGAGCGTGTGTCTGTGAGGAAGTTTCTAGGCTGGATTGGGTTGGGAACAACACACTAATGTGGCTGAAGCCAAAACGGAATAAAAAGGAGCAAGTGAGCTGAGCCCCAGCTGTGGACAGCTGCTTCAGGTTCCTACAGCTCTGTTGTTTCCCATGATGGAGTGCATCCTTGAACTGTGGACTAAACCAAACACCCTTCCCTCCTTGCCATATTCCGGGGTCAGGTATTTTGTCCTGTGTGTAAAGCAATAGATGCAGATGGAAAACTCCTACAACCACGCCCTTGTCTCGACACTCACCTTCATCCTCAAGTCCCGGGCGTACTTCTCCAGCTCCTTCCTTATGTCAGCCCTCAGCATCTTTGAGACATTGAGGACCAGCTGCTTCCACTCAATGGGTTGGAAGCTGTGAGGCTCATGGGGGACGTACAGCCCGATTTTGACCTTCTTGACTGTGTGCAGGTATTTTTTGTAGGAGTCTTCAAAGTCGAAGACAAGGTCACTCAGAGTCCGAAAGGTCAGCGGCTTGTCCATCAGCTCAGCCCTTCGGCTCATGCCCAGTGAGCCATAGTAACCGTTGCAATAAATCCCCAGCACGACATGGTGAAAGTAGTTTCCTGAGAAATAGGTTTTAAAGCTGATGGGGAACCGCTCGATGGAAGGCTGACCATTGGTTAAATATCTTACACAAGTGGAGTCAAGGAAGGGACAGGGACCTTAAGAATTTAGAGAGCAGGCCGGGTGGTGGTGGCGGCAGCACACGCCTTTAATCCCAGCACAGAGGCAGACAGATCTGAGTTCGAGGCTAGCCTGGTCTACAGAGTGAGTTTCAGGACAGCCAGGGCTACAAAGAAAAATCCTGTCTTGAAAAACCAAACAAACACAATCAGAATATGTTCCGACTGCTTTGTGTGGTGCAGGCAGGATCTAACAGCCTCTGTGGTGGTCCAGGCAGGAAAGGAAAACCAGAATCCAAGACACAAGGTAAGGCCAAGGCTGGCTGGTGACCGGAGGATGAGAGACAGAGAGGTGTCGGAAGAAGTCCCATTTTGGGTTTTTGGGGTATTTTTTAGATTTTAATTTTGTGTGCATTGGTGTTTTTGCCTGTATGCATGTTTGTGTGAGGATGCCAGATCCCTTAGAAATGGAATTACAAACAATTGTGAGCTGTCATGTGGGTGCTAGGAATTGAACCCGGGTCCTCTGGAAGAGCAGCCAGTGTTCTTAACCACTGAGTCATCTCTCCAACCAGGAGTCACATAGTTGCTCTCATCGCACCTGGCATACTGTGCCAACAACCTGGGCTACCATGTAGAAAACCTCTACCCTCCATCCCAAGTGCCCCCCCATCCTAGTCCCTAGCTCACATGGCACACCTTGGCTCTCCCCACTTGCTGGCCTGTATTGATTTAGTAGCAGCCTCTTGCCATGACTTTAGTTGTGTGTGTGTGCTGTGTGGTGTATGCACATGAGTGTGGAGGTCAGAGGTCCCCTTTGCTGTTCCTCTGCTGTCCTTACTTTTCCAGACAGGATCTCTTGTCCTGGAACTGGATCATTAAGTAAGCTGTCTGGCCAGCAAGTCTCAACACCTGGTGTTTGTTTGTTTTAATATTGGTCCTGGGTGAGCAAACTCGGGTCTTGGTGCTTGCAAGGCAATCACTTTACCAACAGAGCGGCCTCCCCAACCACTACAGTGTTGGTTTTGACCAATAAGTGCAGAGGAGCAGCTTGAATTAACATCTTACTCCAGGCCCTGGATGGCTGAGCGAGAGGCATCACACTTCCAAGCCCCTCTAGAAACTCCACACCATTCCTGTTAGATCTCATGGCCCTTGACCCAACTTTTCTAAAAACTCTCTCGGCCATTCCTCTTATAGAATGCTTGTCAGGTAAATGACGCCATGGCACTGTGTGATGTGCAGGCCCAGCTCTCCATCCATCCTCATTCTGTACAGACAGCTGAAATGACTCAGCAGTAAAGGTACCTGCCGCCAAGCCAGATGACCCGAGTCTCATCCCCACAATGCAATATGATGAAAAGAAGAACCGACTCATAAAAGTTGTCCTCTGACACCCCCCCCATGCATGTGCCGCAGCACCTCCCCTCCAAATAAACATTTTTTAAAGAATCCGTCTTAATCTCATGTTCCCTGACAACTTGATTTCCTGGGTGGCCTGAATGACATATCTCAGCCCAAAATGGGTAAACAGTCTTCCACCTCAGAGATTTCCACATCTCAATTCTTAGGACTGTCTAGATCCCTGAGCAAAGTCCTGATGTGACTTGGCCCCTGACCATTGACCCTCTGTGTCTTCTCAGTGTCCTTATCTGACCATCGGGAGGCTGTGAACTTTTTTGAAGGATACATCCTGAAGCCATAACGAATGCACACAGGAGCCAGGTATGGAGGCACACGCCTTTAATCCCGGCTTTTGAGAGTCAGGGACAGACAGAGCTCTAAGTTTGAGGCCAGCCAGGGCTCCTTAGTGAAACCCTGTCCTGAAAACACAGTGGAAGCCACGGTCCTTAGCACATATGTTCCCCCCAGAAGAAGCTGAGTATTTAGATGGTGTAGTGGTTTGAATGAGAACGGCCACATAGGCTCATGTATTTGAATGGTTGGTCTCCAGTTAGTGAAGCTTTTTTGGAGGGATTAAGAGCCATGGCCTTGTTAGAGGTGTGGCCTCATTGGAAGTGGTATGGCCTTATTAAAGGAGGTGTGGCCTTAGTAGGAGGTATGTCACTGGGGGTAGGCTTTGAGAATTCAAAGGTGCACACCATTCCCAGTTAGCTCTTTCCCTGCCTCGAGGTTTTTGTCTCTCATCTACTGCTCCAACACCACGATTTCTTGTGGCCATGTTCCCATTCACCCTCTGAAACTGTAAGCCCCAAATACTCTTTCTTCCATCAGTTGCCTTGGTCATGGTATCTTACCACAGCAATAGAGAAGTAACTAAGACGGAGGACCTTCAGATGACTTTACAGAGCACAGTGTATCAGGAAGTCAGATGCAGGGCTGGGGTTTCAGCCGAGTGGGAAAGCACTTGCCTCTTAAGCATGAGGCCCAGGTTCAATCCTCAGGACCACCCAAAAGACAAAAGGACACCCGAGCACAATGGCACAGGCCGACAATTCTAGCAGCTGGGAGGCTAGAGGAAGTCCAAGGCCGGCCTGGAATACATAGTATGGCTCTGCCTCAAAACAAAACAAATTATGGAACTCTTGGAAACACGTTACTCAACAAATCAACCAAGGTAGCTTGTTTGTGGGAGTAGCAGCTTTTAGCTTCATTTTCCAACACCAAGTGCAGCTGGGACCATGACCAACCTGCACCACAATCCTCCCAGCAAGGCTGGTCACAGCAGCTATTCCTCCAAAGTACCCACCACGATTCAGACAAGAATTTGGAGCCTAAGATCCCTGTGTCTGGCATGCATGGGAAATGTGGACGCATATTAGTTAGCAGGGTACAAAGTGGCTGGCCAGGAAGGGATCCTGAACTTCAGGCTGACGCGAAGAGATTTACTACACAGGCTGGGGAGACAGCTTGGTCTGCAAAGCACTGGCCTTGTTCAATTCCCAGAACCCAGGCTTGTAATCCCAGGCTGGGAAAGTAGAAACAGGTAGATCCATGGGGATCACTGGCCAGCCAGCTTAGGTACTTGGTGAGTTCTGGGCCAGTGGGAGATCCTGACTCAAAATAAATAATTAAATAGGTAAATAAATAAGGGGGCTGGAGACATGGCTTAGCAGTTAAGAGCACTGGCTGCTCTTTCAGAGGACCTGGGTTCAATTCCCAGCACCCACATGGCAGCTCACAACTGTCTGTAACTTCAGGTCCAGGAATCTGACACCTTCACACCAATGCACATAAAATAAATTTAAATAAATTTAAAAAATAACAAATAAATAAATAAATAAATAATATAAAAAGGTAAATGGTGGATGGGAGATCCTGCCTCAAAAAAATAATAATAAATATAAATTTATATTTATAAGTAATATAAAAAAGGTGGATTTATTATAACAAATAATAAAATAAAATAAAAAGGTGGATGGTGCCTGAGCAACCATACCAAGTTGTCCCCGGCCTGCACACTCACCCTTATACACATTAGATAGAAAAGAAGGACCAGTGACCAAAAGTCAGCCAAACCTACCAGCTTCCCAGTTGTCAAGGAAACCTTGCTTCCCAGGACAGCGGGAAACTGGGAGACACTGACCATGCCCTGAATCACTCTTCCCAAGAGGAAAGCAGGACACGAGACGCTGACACAGAGCAAATACAGAACTGCTGTAACTTGGGATGGAGGTCTGTGCCGAGTCCGGTTTCCCTGAGCATAGCATGACCGGCGGTCTCCCACGGCCCCCACCTCCCTTGCTCTTCTCTGAAATGTCACAAAGGTAAGAACAAAGTAAAATCAAGAGCACTGGCCCAGCGGGGTCCTAGATCTATTCTCTATAAGCCCTGCTTCTGGGTAATTCCAGGGACAATGATGCTCAGATGTACGACAACGTGCAAAGGACAAGGTGGCCTATATACTCCAGCACACTCAGCAGGCGGGCAGAGCAGCTGAGCGGTGCTTGTCAGGGTCTGGCCTGTGTCCTCTGCTGGCCTCTACCAGCAGCTCCCAAGCCAATGGCTGCCAGTAAGGGACTCTGCTTCCAACTGTGGCTAACTCCTGCTAGTCAAGAGTGGGCCTGAGATACCTGTTGCCCCGCAGACTGCCCTCCTGCCACGCTCTCTAATGCGCATTCCCCTTTATATGTCGAGCAAGGAGAAGATCTGGGAGAGGCTTCAGAAAGACTCAAGTTTTCATTTTCCAAATGCTAACTGAGGCATGGATGGACAGTCATATTTCAGCTCAGACCCTTGCGTGCTCTGCCGGTGACAGACAGGCAAGAGGCTCCCTGTCCTGTGGAAACATGCAGTGGCAGGCGTGGAGCCCAGGCTTTAGTACCAAGCAATGTACACACACACAAAGCATACACACACAGAGCGTAAGACCCTATGAATATCTGGAGCCAGAGGTCTAGCTCAGGTGAAGTGCTGGGCTACCATGTTCAAGGCTCTGAGTTCAGTCTCCAACACCTCAAAGAGCAAACACAAAACAAAAAGGTACAAGAGGGGCAAAGAGATGGTTCAGTGATTAAAGTGCTTGCTGCCCGGCAGTGGTGGTGGCGGCGGCGGCGGCGGCGGTGGCGGACGCCTTTAATCCCAGCACTTGGGAGGCAGAGGCAGGAGGATCTCTGTGAGGTGGAGGCCAGCCTGGTCTACAGCAAGTTCCAGGACAGTAGGTAGAGAAACTGTGTCTTGCAAAGCAAGTACTTAGTGTTCAAGCAGGAGGACCTGAGTTCAGATCTCCAGCACCCATGTGAAGGAGTCAGGTGTGGCGGTGCGTGCCTGTAATCCCAGAACTGGGAAACAGAAACAAGAGGGTCCCAGGGGCTTGCCCAGCCAGCCAGTCTAGCCAAACCAGGGTCCTCAGGTTCAGTGGGAGACCTTGTTTCAATAAGTTACGTAGATGGTTGGGAAGGGATGTGTCTCAGTGAGTTAAAGCTCTTATTGCACATGCAAAGGACCTGAGTTCAAATCCCAAGAACCTACACAAAGCTAGATATGGCAGAACATATCTGGAACCCCATCAGTTCTATGAGGTGGGTTGGCAGGTAGGAAAATCCCTGGAAGTCTATGGGCCCCATAACTTGCTGTGTGTTAAAACGGGGGCGGGGGGGGGGGG